CAGACAAATAGATCTTAATCGATGCGCGCTGAACTCAACTTTTGGCATGATAACGAGTGCATCAAGATGCAAGACATCAAGCATGTCACTGGTATCATGGCCTCTCGATTTGCGTAAAGTGCAAGTTTGTCAAAAACGGCAAAGGCGAAATGGAGCGCACAATGCGACTGCGCCTTTTTGTTCGTGGCTTTATGGTTGTCGAAGCATTCGACGTAGAAGCCTTCTCGGGCACAGCTCGTCGAGCACGCCTGGGTTTGCCCGCCGGCGCGGCCGCGTGCAAGAAACGGCGGGTCATCGCATCTGCCTCGGCGCTACGCGCGTAGCTCAGCTCTTCGCCCCATGACGAGTCAATGTGCTGTCTGCAGCGCAGGCGCAGGCACCAAGGACGCCCCAAGGGCATCCTCGTTGACGCTCAGGGCCATCGCGCTAGGATTCGGGCTACAACCAAAGTCGCACGATGCAGAATGCGAGACGCGCCCGGACCTCCTGACGGCCAAGCACGTCGATTACATAAGCGCTGCAGGAGAGGAAGCCACGATTGACAAGTGCGTCAAATGTGTAGAAGGTACGTTCGGCGCATGCAAACTGAAGCAGCCCCGCTACACCAATTGCGCCGCGCGATGCGCTGAGACCGAGGGCGGCCGCGCCCAGCTAGATCCGGATGAGTGCATCAGACAGCTTCGCCCGACACAGCGCCCAGAACTAACGGGCGTTGCAGCGGAAGATTAGGCAACGAAGACCGCGTCCAACATGTTCATCAGTTTACGCGGCGCTTCTGCGTGCGCATTCATCTCTCTGGCGCGTCGACGGCGCGCGGGGTATTTTTTTGCGACGCGCGCAGGAGGCCGCAAACCTCCAAGCTCAAAGACCCAGGGCTGCCATGCGGCAGGTTCAGCATGGCCCAAAGAACATAACATGTCAGTTTGTGACTCCGACAGGAGAGGTGGACCTTCAAAGTGACTCAGGATATCGCCGCCTTAATGGGGACTAGATGGCGAAGTAAAGTGCGTGGCGTCCAAGGGGCCAACGTGGTCCTGCGCGGGCGCGCGCCTAATGGCAAGGCAGTAGTACACGTGATCGATGCCTACTGCAAGGTGCATCGCTCGCAGGTGCGTTCCAGCCACTCAGCTGAAATACTGGCAGCCGCTCACCCTATCATCATTGCGCTTCACGCGCTAACGCGGCCCCTAACGCCCACTCAGCTGAAAAAGCGCTATGGAATTCGGTGGTATTAGCATCCAGGCCACCCTTTCCATAGGCGCTGCGTCGGGCTGTAAATCCTCGCCAAGGAAGGACTTGCAAAAGCCGACCGGATGTGCCCTGGTGGTGCACATCAGCTGGATAAGACAAGCGATGGGCCGATGTGTTATTCATAGCGCACAGTGGCGCGATGCGCGAGACGCGATCGCTGACGGCCACGCCAGGGGGCGCATCGATCGCGCGCGACTGGCGCATGTTATGGGGCAATCAGTCCTTCAAGCACGTCGCGAAGAAGTACGCAACCTACCGAGGCAAGAAAGACAACGCCGACATAGGGGCGCCCTGTTCAGGGTCAGCGGGTGCCAGTGAGGACGACTATCCAAACCCAGACAAGTCGCATCTTTGCCCTGGCGCGGGAATGTTCATCTACAAAGAGGTTGTCTTCGCCCGGCCGCGGGCATCGACGCGCTTAGTTCCGCAGCTACCGTGGGTGCCCAGACGCGGCGTTTTTTGTGCGTCGGTTTTAGAGGGGATCTGACCGCTTGGTCACATCCCCTCGCGCGCTGCACGCGTCGACGTCTGGCCAGCTGGCTGGGCGCCCCCCATTAATTCTGTGCGGGTGGTTGCGTGGACTTGCCCGTGGCTGCCCATGATCTTTTGCGGGTGGTCGTGGCAATTTGCCATGGCCGCCCCCAGTGCTCTGCCCTTCCCTTTTCTGTGATGCGGCGCTGCATGCTGTTAGGGATGTGGAGAAAATGATTCCCGATCATCCTTCTTTGCGTGACTCAATGCGTCAAGACTTGGATCTAGCTCTCGGCCCCTCTCCCTCCCGAGTTTTAACGAGGTTTAAGGAGAAGTCGCATCGCGAGCGCAGCGCTGTCTTGGCTCGAGGCAGCGCTGTCCTACTTGCCAGCTGTGCAACTGCGTGGTTCTATCCTAAGGGCGTAAAAAACGCCCCTACCCTGGTTTACGCGGTGCTGTGCGCTGAACCTCCTGTGGGCTGACAGTGTGGACCCTGCACATCGCGCGTGCCGCGCGGCGTCCTGACGGCTCTCTGGCTTTTGGGAGCTCCCGGGACGTTTACAGACCACGCACCTGTAACCCAGGGTAGGTGCGTTTTTGCATCCCTCCACCATCTGCGTACCATAGCAACGGACAGAAGCCACGTCCTTCTATGATCCATCTCCCGATCCGGTGGATTATCCCTCACCTCCTCGTCTTGCTTGCCATCAAGGGGTGAGTTGCGGCGGATTTCGATACTTCGCCGACGTTCTCCCAAGAATATGGTTTTCAGCTTATCAACGCACGATCAAGCCCAACACCCTTAACTTTCACTCTGTCGCCGCTGGGTGGCACCGAGGCTGTCGAGCCCGGTGGCCAGCCAGGACGCGGTCGGCCGCTCGTGGCCGCATTGGTGCTACGCGATCAATTGCCCGTTTCGTAGAGGTCTCCCGCAGGATCAGGGCGACAATCGCGCTTCGCGATCCGCACCCTGGCCAGGAGAGTTGTGTTTCCCTGGGGCGGCGGGCGTAGAAGAATAACGAAACGGCATGAACATAAATTGTCGGAGTTCCGCGTGGATTTTTCGGATCGGCGCCGGGCCCCCTTGACGGCGCCTCACGCGCCCTCCATGGCGCGTTCCGCATTTCATGGTTCGCTGGGGGGCCCCAAGCGGCATGGTGACCACGGGGCTTGATGAGTCGGTGGGGATTTTGTGTCACCACGCGGCTTTAGGACTTGAGCCGTTCTCCGAGGATGTCCCCGGCGACTGGGGCATGAGGTCCCAAACCATGCGGTGACGGACTCCGCGTGAGGTCGCTGGGGATCTCGAGGTCGTCGCGCGTTCGGTTACCACGTAGCTTCGAGGCCCCGAAATGGAGGGGGGCCCAGCGTCGATCCAAAAAATTTGCGCGGAGCTCCAAAAGTTCATGTTCATGCCGTTGTCTGTCCTTCTCCCCGAGGGGTGTGCGCAGGACCGCGTGAAGATGTTCGTGGTTCGGTTTTCGCGCGGCTCGAAGCGCGACCGTAGGATACCTGAGCAGCTCGTCTGTCCGGCATTCGGCCATCGACCCCCGATGGAAAACGCAGCAATCCAGCTTCCATGTCCAGTATATTTGAAAGTGCCTGCCCTTGCTTCGTCCTCTTCCTCGTCTTCGCCTACCTTCTTCCGCCCTCCTCGCCTCCCCTCTCCGTTGCGTCGTGTGCACGCAAGGTGTTGTCCCTTGAAATGGCCCGAAGTAGTTGTCGTGCCGACGAACGCTGCTGGATGCATGCCTTGAACGAGTGAGGGAACAGTCCGGCTTTCGTGCTGAAGACCGCGGGAAACTGCCAGAGACCGCTGAGGGCCGCCGACGACCGCCGAAGGACGATATGCAACAAGGGACCCATATCGAACACTCGGCGGCTGCATCAGTCGGGCGACGTCAGCTGACCACCTCGCCGATTCTGGCCAGTCCGATCCTGGGCCCCGGCTGGGCCCAGACATGATCGGTGTGGGGGTGAGATGGTGTCGCCCGAATCAGGAGTGGACAGCCCAGGGGGGACAGTGCATGCATCCTGGGGCTCCAGTCGCCCGGCTACTGGTCCACGGCGGCAGAGAACGAACAATCATTGTGTAGTGCCCCTTCCCCCCTGGTCTGCTCGCCCCTACCGCAGGCCGCCGAATCCGTGCAAGAGGGTCTGCCACTTCGTCCGCTAGCTACGCGTCAGAGTGACCCGCCGGAGTGACCTGCCCTGCAGGCCCGCAGAGATCCCCCCAGCGTTGGCCTGCGCGCCTGGATCTGGCCTACGCCCCCGCAGGCGGCAGACCGAATGCTTTTTTTTGTCGGGGAAGAAGGAGCGGCGTAAGCAAGCACTTTTGGAGCTCCAGGCGGATGTCCTGGATCTGCGCTGGACCCCCCTTGGGATGCCCCAGTCGCCCGAGACATCCTCGGAGAACGGCTCAGGTCCCAAAGCCGCGTGGTGACACAAAATCCCCACCGACTCATCACACCGTCTGGCCACCATGCCGCTCGGGGCCCCCCAGCGATCCATGAAGTGCGGAGCGCGCCACCGACAGTTTATGTTCATGCAGTTGTGTTTACTCCTCTGGGCCCACTGCGATCCGATCGATCTGATTCGATATCGATTCGGGCCGGCCCGATCCGAATCGATTCCGATGTTCCGACGATACGGTGCGGCCCAATGCATGGCTTTCCTGATGCGATGTGAATTGATTTTGCTCTTGCTTTGGGCCGTTCTTGCCATGCCATGCCATCGTGCTGGCCCTTGCGAATCGACGCCAATCGACGCTACGACGACGCTATTCGACGCTGACTCGACACTACATGTTCGCTTTTCCATCGATTGCCAGACGCCAGCATCCGCTAGTGCATTCTCAAAGCGGCATTCCGAGGGCATGCAAAGCTCCCACGAGTTGCCACCGAAAGTGCCACTCCTGCCCTGGGGCGACGCGCGCGCTTGGAAATATTCTGCACATGATCGGTGGCGGGTGCTTTATGGCCAGACCGCCATGTTCGGTTCGGACGTGCCTGCGTCCCGTGCCAGCCCGTCCGCCAGGCCTGGCGAGCCGCAGGAGATCGGAGGGAGGGAGGGAGGGAGGAGAAGGATGAGGATGGTTGATGATGGTGAGGAGGAGGAGGAGGAGGAGGAGGAGGAGGAGGAGGAGGAGGAGGAGGAGGGGGGAGGAGGGGGAGGAGGACGAGGAGGAGGAAGGCCCCCCCCCCTCCTCCCGCCTCCTCCCTGCTACCTCCCCGCTCTCCTGGCCTGCCAGTCCGCCCGCCCCGCCTGGCGAGCCGCAGGAGATCGAGCGCCTCAACGCCCGGGTCTTCAGCCAGCAGGCCGCCGCGGCCGCCCTGCGGGCGGAGGCGAGCGCGCCGGGGCCCGAGGACGGAGCAGGCCCTCAGGGGGCAGGGGCCTGCGTCGGGCGGCAGGAGCTACGCGCACGCCTGTTTCTCCTCTAGGCCTCCCACTTATTGCGCCGACATTCGCGCGTAAGCTGCTCGCGTAAGGGCGCGCGTGAGCGTCCTCGTCTCCACGCGGCGTGCCACGCTGGCGGCCCGCGTAGGAAGCTGCTTTGTTTTATCACGTAAGACCAGTTTTATGTGTAGCTCAGATACGGTTTGAGTAGATGGGGTCAGAGGACCGCGCCGCATCGCCGATGCATCTGGGGACGCGACTCGATGGGGGCCCGACATCTCCGCGCCGACGGCGCCGGTGCATCGCAGGCGTCGCCGCTGCATCGCGGATCCGTCGGCGATGCGTCGAGCGGCGGGAGCTCCGCGCACGCGTTTTTCCTCAGACCTCGCCCCAGTTCTGCGGCCACGAGTTGCCCAAGACCTTGGAGCCGGCCGGCTGGGCGGCTGTGTGTGTGTGTGAGTGTGAGTGTGAGGTGGCTTTTAAGTTGGTTCCGGCGAGCAGGAAAGGGGGCGAGGTTCGAGGTGCTGGGTTCGAGCAGGTTCATTGCCGTGTTCGGGCCCTGGGACCGTCGAACAACGAATTTGGGGTGAACATTTGCACCAGATTGAGCCTGGGACCGATTTGGAAAGGATTTGGTGTCACCCCCACACTTTTGACAGATGTTCCAGGGGCCCAGCCTCATCGGGCCGCCTCCAATCTTGACCTCCTGATTGCATCGTCTGTGTCCCTGGTCTGTTCGACTGCGCTGGCTGTGTTGTGAGTGCGAGCCTGCTCCCATGCACATCCTGAAGGTCTACGCGATCTCGGGGCTCTCTGGCCGTCCCGCGGCGTTCCGTTTTCTCGCCCGCATGCTCCTTTTGTGTTTTCATTCCCCACGGATGCGCCCTGCTTGTTGCGACGGGAGCTACGCGCCCTTTGTTGTTGCGCGAACGGCGAACGTATCCATAATTACCTACGCCCGCGCGATTCGGATTCCGGGGTGCGATCCCGCAGAATCGCGGGCGCGCGGATGCCTGATGCGCAGCGCATCCGCGAAAACACGCCCCGTATCCGCGGGGTCGCGGCCCGAGGGCTCGGCCCGCGAGGCCGGGGGGGCAGGGAGCACAGGGCAGAAGCTTGCATTTGTCGACGGTCGGAAACCAACAAACCGCGTGGCGTTGCGGCCAAGATTCGCCCTGGACCGCTCGTCTGTGGCCCCAGTGTGTTTATTTACGTTGACTGCGTCGTGGATGCGGGCCTGCCCCCAGGCACATCCAGACGGCCTACGCGATCTGAGGGTTTTCCGGCCGTCCCGCGGCCGCACGCCTGCTCCCCCGTGCACTGGTTCGCCGCGGATTCGCCCGCACGTTTGCTCGACCGCTTGTTGAACTCCCCGACGCGCGCGCACACTTTCGGAACACCGCGCAGATTGTTTGGATCGGCGCTGGCCCCCCCTGGCGCCTTCGGGCGTCGCCCCGGCGCGCCCCGCGCCCCGCGCGCCTGGCAAGACACTGCAGTGCTGATGCAAGACATCCGCGCGGACGTCCGAGAAAGTATGTTTATGTTTTTGTTTGTTTGTTTTCGCGGGACTTGCGCGCACGATCGCGCAGTCGTGCTTTTCCCCAGATCCGCTGATGATGGCAGTCAGACGGCGAGGGTCAAGCGGGGCACGCACATGCCAGATGTGCCACGCCACGTGGCATCGCGGCAAACGGCAGACCGTTCGAGGTCCCAAAACCAGCGCGAAATAAATGTGGACTACGCCCACCCACGCACGCACACGCACGCACATACAAGTATTTTCGCGCGTTTTTTTGGCGCTATCGGCCTCGCGCGCAGCGAAACGTGAAGAACCCCCCCTCCGCCGGACTAGCTGTGGACAGGAAGGTAGGTTGATGGATGTAGTAGTGCAGCATAGCAGGAGCAGAGCGGTGTTGCATTGATTCGTTGCTTCTCTTCCACAACCACTTTCGGCGAAACCGCATTTCCATGGTAGCGCGAGTGTGGGCGGCTCGCACGCGCCTGGCGGCGCGCAGTGAATGCCTAGCAAGAGAGGCGCCAGAGGAGCCCCCTGGGTCCGCGACCGCGACGTCCGCGGGCATCGCCGCCGCTCGCTGGGCGGCGCACCTGGACTTCGGCTGGCTGCGGGCAGCTCCGCGCCGAACCGTGGTCCGGAGAGGGAGGGGCCGGCGGCGGAAGCGGGCAGCCCCGCTCCGCGCCCAGTGGTCCTCAAGGCACGGTCGAAGGCTGCGGGTAAACCCGCGCCTTCCCGCGAGCAGGCCGGGCACTGCGGCCCGGAAGAGCCTCCGGCGCAGCGCAAGAGGCGGCAGCGCAGGAGGCGAGGAAAGGCTGATGCGGCTGCGGGATCGCCTGACGACCCGCCAGCCGAACCTGAGGAGAGGAAAAGGGGCTTCCTCGAGGTGAAGATTGAGCGGACTTTTCGCCGTGGGCACGTGTCGCCGGGTGGCGTGCGTCCCCGAGCAGAAGGAGGGGGCGCGCGAAGACCGTCGGAGGCGGCCGGGCAGCCGGAGACGGTCGGGAAGCGCGCCAGGGGCAACCAGGAACCCCAACAGCATCCTTCGGCAGCGGGGAGCCTCGCGTTGAGGGAGGTGAAGCAGGAAAGTGGCGAGAGCCATGGGGCAGCACCTGCAGCAACTGGCGCCGGAGTTCAGGCAGCTTCGGCAGGAGAGCGCGCAGCTGGCAGCAACAGCAGCGGCGTGGGCAGCTTTTCAATGAGGTCGTGGAGAGGCTCATTCGCGCTCTCGATGAGCAGACGCGCGCCTTCGCCGCCAGGAGCCGGCCGAGCCTGGTTGACAGCGAGGGCGTCGGCAGACCAGCGGTGTTCAACGACGACGAGGCTCGATTCTCAGAGTGGGCCCAGAAGACAGAATTCGATCTTCTTGGAGTCGAGCAGGCCTTGGAACAGGCCTTAGAATGGGCGCTCGACCAGGGCGGGGAGATCGCAGTGCAGCAGGTGCTGGAATCTTTCGGGCCAGGAAGCGCCCATGTCATAGACGGCGTCGTTGGACTCAACTTACAAGGCAAGACGGCCCTGAGCAACCTCGCCGAAGGTGAAGGTAGGTTGGGCCATCGTTCAGAACGCTGACAAGAACGGCCTAGAGGCGCCTGCGCAGACGCGTCGATTCTCTGACTGGGGGGCGGCGCAGGAGCCTCTTGCGAGCCATCCTGGCGCCGGCCAGGGTCAAGATGGACGAGCTTGGCTCGGCCTTGCAGACCTGGGAGTATATGGTCAGCCGTTGCAACAAGAAGTCGTTGAAGCTTGGCGAGCCGGCCGTTGCCGACGACTTCCTGCGCTCAGCGTTGGAAGCCCCAGTGCCAGACGACTTGGAGAAGCATCTCCATCTCAACGCATCGCGCCTCGAGAAGTGCGCCGAGGGGCCGCATGCCGCAGGCAGGAGGTCCAGGTCCAACCCCCGTGGACGCGGGCGCCGGATCGCTGGCGAAGGGCGGAAAAGGAAAAGGCAAGAGCAGCGCGGGCAAGGGCGCGAAAGGCAGAGGCAAGGGAAAGCAGCAACACCAGCCGCAGCAACACCAGCCGCAGCACGGACGGCAGAAGTTCGAGGGCTACTGCGACAACTGCGTCAAGTACGGCCGCAAGAAGAAGGACTGCTGGGCGCCCCCGCAGACGGGGGGGCGGGGGAAGGGGCAGCGGCGGCATGGAGAGCGGCACGGGCAGCAGCAGGAAAGGGAGAGGAGCAGGAGCTCTAGACGAAGGGGGAGGAGAGGGAGAGAAGGAGCCAGGAGGAGAACCGGGAGGATTGGACATGGGTGCCATCGAGATCGCTGCCGCGAGCACGACGGACGGGTCCGGGTATGTCCATTTCAACTTGGGCACCGGGGCTGCGGCGACGGCGCACCTTAGGGGGTGGTTCGCGGGTAGCTCCGCGCCCATTCCCTCTCCCGATCACTCTGGATGCATAGCGGCACTCGGAGAGCGCATCCAGCGCCGCGGAGGTGCCCGTTTGCACTGCAAGGGCGAGGACGACGCTCGAAGGTGCATCACAGGTAGGGGGAGCGACGCGCGCAAGATGTCGGCATCGGCGCTCCAAGTGCGCGAGAAGGGGCGCCAGCTGATATGGTTGAGCGCTGACGAGGGCCACGTGGTCCCCAAGGACAGCCGCGTCGGGAAGATGCTGCAGAAGGAGCTCGATTGCCTGGCGCGGCGTTTCGGGGACGACTCGCCCCTGCCAGTGCACCGAGAGAGGGGCGTCTACAACTTCTACATGAAAGTAGAGCGCGCGGAAGACATCGCGCCGCTCGGCCCGTCGTCGGGTTTCCGGCGGCAGGGCCGGCGCCCGTAAGGCCGTTGGAGGCTGGGCCGGGCGCGGGCGGCTCCGCCCCGGCCCGGGGCGCGGGTGGCCCCGCTCCGGAACCCCCATCGCCTCCAGAGTGCTTTGGGGGGGAGGGTAAAAGCCCCATGTGAAAATCCGGACAGAGCCTCGAGCGCCGAGTGCGCGAGAGAGGTGAGCGAGCACTACGGTCTGGGACGCGCTCAGTTCAGGTCTTGGCGCCGCCGCTGCCAGGCAGCGCGTGACATCGGCGAACAACGCCGTGCCCGAGGGGAGGGCCCGGACACAGCTGATCCTGCGGTGCGCTCTGACTACGGCTACTTGGCCGACGACGACAGTGAGGCCACAGCATTGCCGATATTGGTGATGCGGGATCCCCGTACCAAGGGGCATGCGGCGACGGCAGCGCCCTAGAAGGGGGCGCACCCGTACCCAGCGAAGTTCTTCGAAGGCTACTTGAAGGAGCGCGGTTGGAAGAGGTGCGCGAGCTGGTCAGACGGCGAGCGCCGCCGCGTAGTTTTGAAGGCCGTGGCTGACCAGATGAGGGCAGTAGAGATTGTCGCGCAGAAGTCTCCAGTAGGAGGCCACGCAGCGAACGGCGAGGCTGAGAACGCGGTCAAGGAGGTGAAACGCATCGTGCGCGTGCAGAAGCAGACGCTCGAGGAGAGGATTGGTACGCGGCTACCGCTGCACCATCCGATTTGGACGTGGCTGCCACGACATGCTGCTGCGCGTCTCAGTAGATGCCGCATCGGCGAGGACGGGAGGTCTGCCGAACAGAGGCGCACAGGCAGGCGCTGGGCGAAGTCGGCGTTGGAATTCGGCGAGCGGATTCACGCGGGGCTCGCGCAGGAGCAGCCGCGGAGCGGCATGACTCCTAAAATGGCAGAGGACTGGTACGTCGGCCACCAGACGCGGACTGGCAGTCTGCCGACAATGACCACCAGAGGGGGTTCGCGAGGCAAGACCTACAACAAGATGACAGCGGAGGAGCGCTGGAAGCCCGCTGGGCTAGACCAGGCGTGTGGGGCGCCCAGGGAAATGGAGCCCCTGGATACGGTTAGCCCCGCTCCAGGGAGGCCCTCACTGGCAGGCTGGGAGGCTGCCGGGTCGGCAAATCCGCCACTGCCCCCTCGACCTGTAGCAGGGGGGCGAGGAGGAGGAGTAGGGGGGGACGGAGGAGGGGCGCCAGGACCTAGGAAGCTCTACGTATTGAAGGCGGACGCGGAGCGATTCGGAGGGGCACCGCCGTGCCCAGCGCGTCTCAACATCATGCGTGGCCGACCGGCAGGGCGCGCGCACGCAACAGAGTGCCTGCAGCGGATGGCCAGCATGATGGAGGAGGACGACGCGGGCCGGCGCAGGCTGGACGCGCGCCGGGCGAAACGAGCCCGAGTGGAGGAACAGGGGCCTGCGGGCAGGCGCGCCAGCGACTTCAGCGGCAGCAGGCAGGCGCCAGCGGCAGGCGCGCCTGCCACGCCGCCGGCGGCAGCGCGGGCGCCGCCGCCGCCCGGCGAGGAGCGACCTCGCAGAAGGCCGGCTGCCGTCGCACCGGGCCTGGGGCTCGACGAGAGGTCGAGGGGCAGGTCGGCTGAACGAGCTGGCCAGAGGACGGCAGACGAAGACATGGGCGGGTCGTTGCCGCCAGGTGCGCCGGAAGCGGGTAGCGCCGCTCCGGCTGCGTCGTCAGGGAATGGAGGCCTGGCTCCGGCCGCAGGGGCCAGTGCTGCGTCTGCGTAGGTGCCAGGCGCCGCGGCTGCGGGAGGCCCCGCGCCTGCGGCGACGGGGTGGGGCGTTGACATGAGCAGCATGACGACGACGAGGAAGGAGGAATTGAGGAACGAGTATCGTAGGAGCATTGTTCTCGCTTGTCGCCGGGACGAGGCGGTCCTCTCGGCGGAGGAGCTGGAGGACATTACCCATCTGAGCTTGGAGCTGCCCATGGGAGCCGTAGATGGTCACGAGTTGTGCCCGCCTCCGCAGAATGTCGCGCTCGCGCGCCGCCTGGGCCTCAGGCCTGGGGCGAGCGCAGACATGGGGGGCCGAGAAACCGAACGGTGGGCACTGGGACTTTACGAAGAAGGGCGACGTGAAGGAATGGTTCGACACGCTCGAGCGCGAGGGCCCGCGCATCCTCATTGGTTCGCCTCCTTCTACGGCCGTCGCAGACTTACAGGGCGCACCCCAGCCCGAGTGGGACAGAGCATGCGCTCCAGGAGCAGAACGTTGCGAAGCGTCATGTTGAAGTGGCTTGTGAGAGCTACCTGAGGCAGATGGCGCGGGGTCGGCACTTCTTGCACGAGCACCCCCACGACGACAGCAGCTGGGAGACACCAGGCATCCTGGAGCTACTGGAGCAGGACGCCGTGGAGAGGGCCAGAGGAGCTATATGCAGGTGGGGCGCGATGCCCGGTGCCCAAGGTATCCCCCCTTCCGGCATGCTAGGGTTAATCCGGTGGCGAACCGGAATCATGACCAACATGCCCGAGCTTGCAAATGCGCTGGAGCTCAAGAAGGGGTGCCCCGGCGACTTGGGGCCAGAGCAGCATCCAAGTGTGTTGCTGACTAGTGGTGTAGCTCGCAAGGCATAAGCGCATCCTCCGATGCTGGCGCGGCGCGTCCTACGAGCAATAAAGGAGGCCATGAAGAAGGATGGGTCCCCCTCTGGCCTGGCGGAGGCCACGGCCGGCCCGGTGCCCGCAGAGCCCGACGCCTACGAGCAGGGCAGATCGCTGTTGGAGGACAGCGACGGGCATTGGGACGACGTCAACGGAGGTTGGCTGGACCCCGCCATGGTGAGGAAGGCTAGGGAGGAGGAGGTAGGATGGCTTCGCCGACAGGAGGTGCACGAGAGAAGGATTTTTAAGGAGTACCTGGACGTGACAGGTGCGAAGCCTATCCATTGATGTGGCTCGACACCAACAAGGGCGACAACGAGCGACCGAACTGCCCGTCTCGTATCGTCGTGCGCGAGAAGCGAGGCCAAGGAGACGAAGGGCGCAAGTTGCCTGCAGTGTTGCTGTTTCACGCAATGCCGCCTCTGGAGGCAGTGAAGATGCTGGGGGGCTTGATGGTGCAGAACAGGAGCAGCGACCGGGGTGAGCCTCTAGGGATGAGATTCTTCGACCTATCACGTGCGCATTTGCACGGCCAGGCCGAGAGGGCGGTGCGCGTGGAGCTGCCCGAGGAGGAGCAGGACGGCGTTCACTGTGCACTGTTGAAGAAGAGAGCATGTACGGCACCCAGGACATGTCTGCCACCTGGCAGCGAGACTACACAGCAGTGCTCAAGCAGGACGGGCACGAGCCAGGGAAGGCGAACCCGGCCCTTGTCTACAAGAAGGTCGACGACTGTCGGTCTTTAATTCACGGTGATGACTTCTGCGCCATGGGCGACGACGACGCCCAGGACCAGATCGAGCACGGTTTGCGGAAGAAGTACGACTTGAAGGAATTCAGGTCGTTGCGCGCTCGGTTCTGGAGGGGGGCAGGAGGTCGTTTTCTTGAACAGGGTTCTACGTGCAACAGGATGCCCAGGAGAGGGGCGTTTCGAGGTCGAAGCAGATCCACGGCGCGCAGAGATGATATTTCGCGACATGGACCTCGAACAGGAATCCGCTAAGACGCCAGATGTTCCTGGATTGAAGAAGGAGGAGGCCGAAGCGGAGGAGCGGTTCGCCTCGCCCCCGCTCGTCGGTGGCGACGTCCGCCTGCACCGCAGCGCGACCGTGCGCGCGTCGCACTTGGCCCCAGATCGGGCTGACATTGGCGATGCAGTGAAGAATCTTGCTAGTCACATGCAAAGCTCGAAGCAAGTCGACATGGCACGGCTTAAGAACTTGGCGAGATACCTGAAAGGACGGCCTCGGGTAGCACAGGTGCTCCGCAGGGACCAGCACCTCGCCGGGGGCAGTCATTTGCCCATGTCATGGTGGACAGCGACAACGCTGGCGACGAGATCAGCCGACGGTCTACTGTCGGGCAGGTCGTTTTCGTCGGCTGCCAGGCGGTGAAGCATGCTTGCAACCTGGTGCAGGTGATTGGACTTTCTTCTGGAGAGCACGAGTACTGCGCGATCAGCGCCAGCGCGTGCACCGGATTAGGCATCCAAGGCTTATTGGAGGACTGGCAGGCCCCCTCGAAAGTCAAGGCGGTGTCGGACTCTTCCGCGGCGCGCGGTTGCGCGTCGCGCCGAGGCGCTGGGGAGCTGAAGCGCGTTCAGACCCGCTACCTGCGGGTGCAGGGGAGGATTGCCATGCAGCACCTGGAGTTGGGCAAGATCGGCACGGCCGATAACAGGGGCGATCTCCTGGCGAAGCCCTTAGGTCGCAAGGAGATCGACGTCCACATGAAGGGTATCAACCAAGAGCACGGGAGCGGCAGAGCGGCCAAAGGGTTGCTTCTGAAATAGAGGAACGGCTCGACGCCGAAGCAGCAGGGGCGCGGGTGGCCCCGCTCTCCGGAAGCAGCAGGGGCGCGGGTAGCCCCGCTCTTTCGGGAAGCAGCAGGGATGCGGGTAGCCCCGCCCCCTCGGGAAGCAGGCTGCTCTGCTCCCGGCGCCCCCCGGGCAGGAGAGCAGTCTGAGGGTGGCCGCGGGTGGCCCCGCGCGCCCCCGCAAGCTGGCTGCGGGCAGCCCCGCGCTAGCTACTCTTTTCTGCGCAGTGGTGGTCGCGCTGGATCGCCGCGGCTCCGCTACCGGTCGTCGTTGGAGGTAAAGACCTCTCTCGGCTGCTTGCGCTGTGAGCCAAACCAAAGGGTTCTCTCGCAGTGAGGAGGGGTGAAGAAATCCCCCTCCGTCGGACTAGCTGTGGACAGTTCGGTAGGTGGATGGATGGTGTAGTGCAGCGTGGCAGGGTCAAAGCGGTGTCGCCTTGATGCGTTGCTTATCTTCCACAGCCCCTTCCGGCGAAAAAGCATTTTAAAAATGACAAAGCAAGTGACAGCGCTGAACGCGTGGAGGCGGGCTGGCCTTGTATCATCGATCTCGATGCGCCCACGCGCGCGCGCGTGCGCGCGGCGCGCGGTCGCGCACGTGCGCGCGCGCGCACGCTTACACGCACGCGAACCCGCACACACGCACACACGCACACACGCACACACACACACACACACGCGCGCACGCATACACGCACGCACACACGCACACGCGCATGCACGCATTCACGCTCGCACGCACACGCGCACAAACGCGCGCACACACACGCGCAAACGCGCACGCATGCATACACACACACACGCACGCACGCACACACGCGCTGTCGCACACACGCACACATACACGCACACGCACACACGCACACACGCACACACGCACACACGCACACACACACGCACGCACACGCACACACACACACATACACACACGCGCACACAAACACACGCGCACACGCACCCATGCACACCCGCGCGCGAACGCGCACACACGCCGATACTTACACACATGCACGCACGCACACACGCACAGTCGTTCACATACGTACGCGCACACACGCCCGCACGCACAAAGGAAGGCACGCACACGCGCACGCACGCGCGCGCACGCACACGCGCGCACACGCGCACGCGCACGCGCACGCACACGCACACGCACACGCACACGCACACACACGCACACACACACACACACACACACACACACGCGCGCACGCACACGCGCGCGCGCACACATGCACACATACACAAGTGCATGTTTTGTTTGCGTCGGCGGCGAGGCAGGGGTCGTCTTCGCCAGCGGAAAGGCCTAAGCGAGGGCGCCGCTCGAGCGAATTGCACCGCCGCGCAAGAGGGGGGGCAGTGCAGGCGGAGAACGCGGCCGAAAGAGGGGGCGGAAGGGGGCGAGCCGCTCGGGGGGGGCGGGTCGCGCCCCGAGCGCGCGGCGCGGCCAGCTCCGCCTGCGGGCGCGCGGCGGTTGCGCCAGGGGCAGTGGCGGCGGGCCCCGGTTGCATGGCGCAGAATGAAGAGTGTCAAAGCAGCCTGACGGCAGCCCTTCTCCTGGGCGGGATGGGCGCGTTGCCGGCCGAAGCCGGGGCGCCGGCGAGCGGCGCGACCGAGCCCGGGGTCGGCGTGGGCGGCGGACGCGGGCAGCCCGGGGCAGCGGCCGCAAGCTGCTGGGCAGCGCCATGGCGGCGCGCGAGGGAGAGGCGGCGAAAGGGGGGGAAAGCGAAAAGGAAGGGGGGCGCCCCGCCTGCGTGGCCCTCAGGCGGGGCGGCAGGGCGGCGGCGCTGACGAGGCGCGCCGCCCGGCGCGGCGGGCAGGGGGGGGGGGGGGCGGGGCGCGTCGCGGGGCGCGCGTCGCGGGGCCATCGCGCGTTGGAGTGTGGGGCGCGTTGCTTTGGGCGCGGCCGGGCTGGCCTGGCGGCCCCTTCCGGCCCGCGCGCAGCCCCGGCTTCTCGCGCACGGGCGCTCCGCGCCGGGGGGCCGGCAGCGCAGTTCTTCGAGGGGGGGGGTCTGCGGCCGCCTTCGAGGGCCCCGTTCGAGAAGGGGCGCGGCCGCGCCGACCGGGCCGCGACGACGCGAGCCGCGGCGCTGGCGGCAGAAACGGAAATCTCGCGTCCGACTCCGATGAGGCGCCTCCCCGCAGGCATCGGGGTCGGGGCCCCGCGGCGCGCGGGCCGCCGCGGGGGCGGCGCGGGGGCCGCCCGGGCCGCGGGTTGAGGAGACCGGGCATGCGCGGCCTGCTCGGAGCGCGCTCGGGCGTCGTTCCGCCGAGCATGCATCGGGGATCGTCGGCGAGTTTGTTCGGCTCCGCGACGCCGAATCGCGCCCCCCCCCCGCCGCCTGGCCTGGGCCTGCGCCAGTCAGCCAGTCGACAGGTGCACCTTGCGCAAGCGCAGGACTGGCCTCGACGCGACTTCTCTCGGGCGCCCTCGGCAGCTCTCGGGCGCGGGGGGAAGTCGCGACGGGGCGCCGAGGCCCGTTTAAGGCATTTTTTTTTTTGGGGGGGGGGGGCAATGTTGCGGGGCGGCCTTTGTCAGCTGAGGCGAGCCCCCGCCCTGCGCGCCCGCGCGCGCGTTCTCGTCGCAGGCGGTCGCGGTTCGCCCCCCGCTTGGCCTCCCCGCCGGCGGGGCGCGCCCCCCCCGCCCGCCCGACCCTGCTGCGCGAGCGCAGCGGCGTCGCGGCGGTTCCTGGGCGCGTCGAGGCCGGGCTGGCCGAGCGCCTGGCGAGGGGGGGGCGTCGGCGAGGATGCTCGGCTCCGCGACGCTGGCTCGCGGCCGCCGGGCCCGGGCCTGCGCCAGTCGACAGTTGTGCCTTGCGCAAGCGCGGGCCCGGCCTCGACGCGACTTCTCGCCATTTGTGCTCGCATTCCCCCCAAACCTGTCGCCCCCCGCGCGTCGGGCGGGGATCGTGGTGTTCCAAGACTCGCCAACAACAAATTCTTGACGCTTCGCGTGTCCCCACGAGCCCATCCAGAAACGATGTCCAGGCAAGTTGAAGAGATCAGGGAAGTGGGGGAGCAACGAGAGGGACAGCCGATTCGTGCAAAGGATGAGGCGGAAGAGGAGGCCAGATGGATAGATGAGGGGGTGGCGAGGAACCGAGCGAAGGAGGAATGAGGAGAATGATGACGCTGGGTGGATGGTTGAATGCCGCTCGGATGCGTCTTTGAAGCCTTTTGGAAGCCTCTTCGGACGTATTGGGGGTCTCTTGGCGGTCAATGGGGGCTCTTGGGCGTCTTGGGTGCTTCGGGGGGGCCTCTTGAGGCCGCTTGGGATCCTCTTGGGGGGCTCTTGGGGGCCTGTTGGAGGCCTCTTGGGGCCTCTTGGGGGTCTCTTGGAGCTTCGTGGCGGCCTCTTGGAGCCTCTTGGAGGCCTCTTGGAACCATCCTGGGAGCCTCTTGGAGCCTCTTGGGGGCTTCTTGGGGCCTCATGGCGGCCTCTCGGGGCCTCTTGGAGGCCTTTTGGAAGCCTCTTGCGGCCTCCTGGGCGCCTCTTGGGGTCATCTTGGAGGAGATCGATCAAAGAAGAGGGTGGGGTTAATTAGCCTTGCCCCTCCAAGAGGCCGAATTGGGGCCAACACCTTAGTAAAACCGATGATTGTGGCTTCCTCGCCGAGGACTTTTTGGACGCTCTAACTACCAGCGGCCCCCCCCGTCCAAGTCCAGGGGAGGGGGTTAGGGGGAGGGGTAAACCCCTCCCCGAAGGGGAAGAAAGAGGGGTGGAAGAGGAAATTCCCTGAACCACCTGCGCCCAGAGGGCAGGTGGGATTAACTGTTTGTGTATTCGGCGCTTGCGTGGATGGCGCTACATCAACGCTGGCGCGAGGTATTCGGCCCATACGTAGCGGTGCCCGAAATCCGGCAACATCCTCACGGCATTGAAGCACGCGTTTCTGATAAGTGCCCGAACTATCGAGCGGCGCGATCTTGAACCGCATTTCCATTTTGTTGATGATGTTTGTAGCACTGTAGCACTGGTTGGATCTAGGTCGCTTCCCTGTGGGAGGAGGAGCTGACGCATTGGCGTTTGAGCGTCGGGGAGGTGGATGGGTGGTTTGGAGGGGTAGGGTTTTGCGCGCGAGCGCATCCTTGGGGCGAGGCCGCGGCGGCTCGAAGTCATGTAGGACGGTGGCGAGCTTCGCCCCTTCGGGGATGGGTTTCCGATGGCGTTTTGATTTGCCCTCCGACAGTTGGCACAGTGCCAGCGGCAGTCGGCGCCTCACTTGTAGAACCCCCGGCGGCTGCCTGCAAGGAGCTGTCGGACATCGGCGTCTACCCAGGCGACTCCCTCGTTTTTGTGGGGGTCGAAGGGGCCTTGCTTGCGTGCGTCGCATTGAACGTTGGGGGTCTGGCCAGCTGCGCGGAAGCGGTTTTCTCACTCCTGCAGCGTGGCCGGCCATTGCGCGGTGCTGGGCAAGGCCCTTGTTGGCGGGGGAATGTGGAGGTCTTTCCCGCCGCCCGATACTTCGCCGCCTACGTACTGAATCGCAGTCGCAGTGGGCGCAGGGGGAAGGAGCTCGACGTCTGACCCGGTTCGGTCTTGAGTCTGTGCGCAGGCGGCGCACTGGTGCTTGGTGAGGGGGGGCAGGTCTGCGGGATCGGTGGGGATGCTGCAGACTGCTAGTGCGTCATCGAGCGGGAAATCGCGGGTGTCTAGCTCGCTTCAGGTGGAGACCTCTCCGGTCCCCTTGACATAATCATGGCGGTGTGCAACAGTGACGAGGTGGGAGCAGGCCTTGATCAAGTTTTCGGTGTTGCCGCGAAGCCTGCGGAAGTCCTGCTCGGCGAGGTGGCGGCGCGCCTTCCCGGATCTGACCCTCATGGGTAGCCCGGCCTTGCTGAGGGGCACGCACAAGCAGAGGCATTGATATTGTCCACAATGCGCCCCGGGCTGCCGCAACTACTGTGCCATCTTGGGCTTGGGTTCCCGGATGAGTAGGAGAATCAGGACGAATGCGTTGTTGGCTCACGGTCGGGGGATCAGGGCTCCTTCGGGATCGAGCAGCTGCCCGCCCATCACTGGGCCTCTTGGATTTGGGGCTGAATAGTGGCGCGTAGTTGTGCAAATGAGAGCTGCCCATGGTGGCCTGAGCACTCGCGCGCGGTTTGGCTCCAGGCGGCGGGGGGGGGTCCTGGGGGGCACCGTGGGGCGCATGGTCGGTTGCCTCTTTCCAGCGGCTGCGGTCTTGGCGTCTTTTGGGTGGCGGTGGTAGTCTGTCTTCGGGTATGGATCGGTCTGGGCTGCTGCTTGGCTGTAGACCTGCGACGTGGGGCAGGCGTGCTCATGCGGCGGCGTACGCGTAGTTGGTGGGGCCGACGCCGAGTTCCATGTCGAAGAGATACCCGTTGTGGCTGACCATTTTTCGGCATTGCTCGAAGAAGTCCTTGGGCGCGTCACTGGGGTCGTACAGGTGAAGGCGTAGGCTGAGGACGTAGTAGAGGGCAGGGGCCAGGGCGGGGCCAGGGCTGCTGTTCGCAGCTCGTGAGACAGCTTGTCTCAGCAATGGCCGTCGGGGAGTCTGCTGTCATAGACGGTCTGGAAGCCGAGGGCCCGTTGCTCGGACACCTTCTGGGCCTTCACTTCAATCTCGGCGGTACATTTGGCCTGGTCCTCCTGAGAGGTATTGGGTGCCTCAGACCCTATGGGGGCTCCGAGGACCATTTTGAGGGAGAATCCGGGGGTCTCGAGCAGTTTGCGCCTGTTCCCCCGGGGGGGCGACGAACTGGGTCCACAGGCTGGCATCAGTCGCCCACTCGGCAAGGGCGTGCATCTGGGATTCTGTGGCTGTGAATGCCATCTGCCCGTTCATGAGCACAACAATCCCTTCATGGGCCCGGGTGAGTCGATGAAGCCCCATTGGCCGTATGGGATTGGCTCGGGTGGTGCAAAGGATGACGAGGTTGGTTGCTGTCGATCGTGGCGACGTTGATGAGCCTTCTCTGGGGGACAGGTCTGCTCCAGCCCTTGGAAGTGAAGAATGAGTCCGTTCAGCATGTTGGGCTTCAGCCAGCCAAATACTGCCGCGGCGTGTGTCCCGTTCCCTTTCCCGGACCCTTTCTAGGAGCTTGGTGAAAAGGTGGGGGGGTGGCGGCCCGGGATGCTGGGGGAATGCCTTTGGGGTTGGATCCACACGTGCACAAACACGCAAGCACCCATACACGCACGCATACACGCACGCGCCCACACGCACACACCCACACGCGCACGCAAGCACGCACGCGCGCACACGCACACGCACACGCACACGCACACACACACACACACATTCACGCACAACACACACACACACGTCCCCACACACATCCACACGCCAGCACCACCATCACCACCTCTCAGCACTCACTACGCACCACACACCACTCACCACACACCACACAATATACCACACACACACCACACACCACACACCACTCACCACCTTGCACACAACACACGCACAGTACCTACACACCACACACAACACACTACACATAACGCACCACACACCACACACCGGACACACAGTTACGGACACATATACAGACACAGACAGAGACAGACAGACACACGCATACCCACGATGGTGCCGCGTCGGCGCGGCGGCGACGCCGACGCGGGCGTTCAAGGCCCATGCGGGCGCTCAAGGTTGAGGGCCGTCGGCGGCATTAGCCAGGGAAACCTTGAAGTACCTGCGTTTTCGGGTCATGCAGCAACGCCCTGGGCGATGATTCGAAATTCGGTGCAGGGTCTGCTCGTCGACGTCGTCGTTATTCCGATCCTTTGATCGCCCGCTTCGAAGTCTTTCCCATCGGCTCTGAATGTTTTAATGTTTTACATTTCGCTCACTCCGCCGGCCCATATCGAAGACGCCTACGGCGAATCACCGCCGCCCCCTGCCTTTTTGGAAGCGCCTATGTGGCCGAACGTTGAGGCCAGACCTGCCAAGCTATCGGACCACGTGTTCCCCGAATCGGTTTGGAAAGCCTTCGGGGAACACGTGGGCATCTTGAAGGTCATCTTGGCCGTCTTGGAGGCCTCTTGGGCAAGCTTTGGGCGATCTTTGGGGCTTTTTGGGCCGTCTCGGGCCAGCTTCGAGCCAACTTCGGCCATCTTGGTGGGTTCCTGGCACGTCTGAAGCCGTCGGAAGCCGTTTGGGGGGCCTCTATGGGCCGACTTGGGGCCCGCTTGGAATGCTCCAGGGCCGTCTTGGAGGCCATCTTGGGCGTCTGGGAGGCCATCTTGGGCGTGTTGGAGGCCTCTTGGGCCCTCTTGGGGCCCTCTAGGGGCCATCTTGGAGGCCACTTGGGCCATCATGGGGCTCTCTTGGGGGCCTCTTGGGCGATCTTGGGGGCTTCTTGGGCCGTCTTGAGCCGTCGGAGAGCCGAAAAGGCGCAAATGCCAAAATCCTTCAAAAACCAAGGAAAATCAATGATTTTGGCCTCTTCGGACTCTCCTGGAGGACCTCTTGGAGGCCTCTTGGGCCGTCTGGGAGGCCTCTGGGGGGCCTCTTGGGCCGTCTTGGGCCGTCTTGGACTCTCTTGGGCCGTTTTGGAGGCCGTCTTGGACCATCTCGGGCGGACTTGGAGGCCATCTTGGGCCATCTTCGCGATTTTTTGAGGATGTCCCGAGCGAAACGGCCGTTTTGGGCATTGAGAGATGGGTTTTGGGCAATTTGCGGGTGGCCGGCGGGACGGGCCGAAGCCCACTGGGGAGTTCTTTTAGAAAAAGAACCAAAACCAAAACCTGAAACGTCCAGCACGCCGTGCACCCCTGCAAGCAGGGGGCGGCGGACCTAATGGCGTTCGGCCCATCCCGCCACCGTGCTGGGGTGGTGTGTCTGAGGCCTCTTGGGGCCTTTGGGGGGGCCTCTTTGGACGGGAGGCTCGGATTTTCGGTCAGTGTTCTTTCTCTTGAGGTCGTCTTGGGGCTCTCTGGGGCCGTCTTGGGCACCTCTTTGGCCGTCTTGGGGCCCTCTTGGGGGCCTCTGGGGCCGTCTTGGGGCGGTCCTGGGAGCCTCCTTGGGCGCTTTTTCGGCCGACTGGAGGCCGTCTGGGGCGTCCTGCACCGATCGCTCAGCGATTCGGGACTCTCTTGGACCGTCTTGGGGGCTTTTAGGGGTCTAGAGTTTACAAGACCTCCCCGGGGAGACCCAGCATCCTTGAGCCCACTTACCGGGATATGTTTCGTCCGGAAACCCCAAGGGCGGCCCCGCGCGCGCGGATTAGAGGAATTCTAAAACTTGTTGCCAGAGATTTTCGCACGTACGCCTCTGGCCAGTTGGGCCAGCGAATTAATTGCCAGCCCCTCTTTGTTCAGAATGTCATCCTACACTTGTATGTGCGATGGGCGTCCAGCCTTGGGCCTTGACCCTCCTTCGCCCTCTCCTACGTCGTTTGTCGTCGTGGAAGAAGTCACGATGTCGCGAGAGCATTGCGGCCACAGCTCTCAACCGCTCGATTCTCTCGAGGCAGGTCCATCCCGCGGGGACCCAGGGTCCGACTCGGGGCACGAGGGGCGGGGATTGGGGGCTTGGTAGGGGACGGTGAAGGGAGTGAATTCGAATAAGAAGTGAATACATAAGATAAGCGTCCGAAGGTCCGCGAAGATGTGGCGCCTCAGCGCCGCTTCGAACATTCCGTGCGAACCTCCGAGCATTATTGTTTGAGTAGTTTGTCTTCTTTTATATGGTTGAGGGTGGAGGGGAGAGCTGCTGGGCAGGGTGCACTTCAAGCCGTGTCCAGACCACGAGTCGGTGTCTGGAAGCCCTTCCCGAACTATCGGGCCCTCAGGGTGCGAGTAAGCTCACCCTAGTGAATATACGAGGGCGTTCCTGACGTCTTCAGAACGGTTGAGACTTGCCGTGACGGGCTTCCTTTTCTTCACTCCACAGTTTGAGCACTTTCGCAAGTCGCACGCGAACCCATCTGCACCCAGACGGTCGTCTCAAGACGGGTGCTCGAATCCGCGCGGGGGGGCCATCTTCCGCGAGTTTCGGAGGGGACCGCGAAGGCCCTTGCACGCGTCCTGGAGAGCTCTGGTTGATGCTGGCATGGTGCTCCTGGGAACTGGTCAACCACCCCAGTTTACTGTCCTTCTCCTGCTCCTCCGTGTCCGTTTTGAATCCTGCCCGCTTGGCTCAAGAAGCCCACGATAGGGTTGACCTGCCACGGAACTCGGTTCACCACACTACCTCAGCACCGCAGAGCAATGGCGCGCGCCTCGGTGCTTGCCCTGATGGCGTTCCCTGTCCTGCGGGCCGGCGCCCTCAACTCGGCAGCGGAGGCGCAGGCGGAGGAGACGGATGCCCTGAGCCACAGGGCATATTTGGACGTTACCGTCGGGGCGGTCAGCGCTGGGGCCCAGGCGGCAGAGGTGCAGGAGCTGAGTGCCCATGGCCACAGGGCGTACCTGGACGTCACCGTCGGGGCGGTCAGCGCCGGGGCCCAGGCGGCGGAGGTGCAGGAGCTGAGGAGCGGGTCCGGCCACAGGTCGGCGGAGGCCGAAGGGGTGGATGGCCCAGGGGCGGGCATGACACGTATTCGCCAGGAGGCCTCGTGGAGGACGCGGGCGATCGGAGCCCCCCCGGGATACATGTGATGCGCCCCCCCCCCGGGCTTGCCCGCCCCTGCTGCGGCCGCCGAGCAGGGCGTACCTGGACGTCACCGCCGGGGCGGTCAGCCACGTGGCCTCGGACGAGGCCCTGGAGGAGCTCGACGCGGGAGACCGCCCCAAGGGCGCCCGCAGGCGGGCCCGCGAGCGCGCGCTGGCGGCGCAGGCCGCGGAGGACGTCGCCAAGAGCGGCTGCGCCCAGCTCGGCGGCGACAAGTGGTTCTCGGACGCGCACGGCGAGCTGTTCCAGGTTCCAGGCCTCCGTGAGGGGGTCCGAGCAGATGGGGTCGGGGGATCGCGCGATGCGTCGGCGATGCGTCGGCGATGCGGCTCGAGGTGGACGCTGACTTTCTCGGTGCCGGCATCGCCAAAACATCCCCGACGTCGCCGCGCGGAGACGCGGCGCGATCCTCCGACCCCGTGCGCTCGTGTGCTCATTCGGGAGGGCTCTACAGGTGAAGCAGGAGAAGTGCTCGATCACCTTCCCGCTGAAGACGCGGGCCGGGACGGTCGAGAAGCGCGGCGTCGTCAGGGGCACCAAGGTTCTCGTGGAGCCGCCTTTCCCCGAGGGCACGGTTGTGGGAGCGAGCGTCAAGTTCGAGAACGGCGCCCAGTGGGAGCGCAAGTGGTGAGCGCTTCGCCGGATCTTGGATCAGATGGCCACCTTCGGCCCTGTGTTCTTTTTTTGCTTACACTTCTGCCGCTGCCCCCTCCCTCTCCTCTTCTCCTACTCATACCCCTGCTCCGCCTCCTCATGTCCTGACATTTTTCCACCCGTCCCTCGTAGTCTCGGCTTCCGGTGGGCCGGAGTCTGGCAAGGTGTAGTGTGAAGGTATCATCATCTCCCTCTCCCGAGCGCTGAGGTTGGACGGCAAACGAGAGATGGTCTGGAGGGAGAGCGGAGGAGCGCGGCTGGGTAGCGACCTCGCGCTAGCCCCTGCCAGTGTCGTAAGACATTTATTTGGAGGATGGAAAGGGCGCACTGAGACTGCTGCCCGTCCCGCGCTTTCGCCCATGTCGGCCTCATTGGAGGCCCTCGTCGCCGCGGCTGGAAGTCGGTTGCGGCATGAGTCCACAGCAAGGACACACCCTGATCCACAGCTGCTGGAGTCCAGCCTTGGATCCTCTGGGAGTGGTGGATATGGAGCCTGTCCCAAACGAGGAGGTACAACATGGCGATCGCGAACAACCACAACCGGAGCCCGAGACCCCATCTGTTTGCTGCACTCTTCGAGTGGGATTGACCGCGAGGGTCCCGCGGCCCGAAGCCGGGCAAGACCGCCCAGCTTGCAAACCTGCAGCGCCCGGATCGCAGGGGACGACGACGAGGCCCGAGGAGGAGGGTCTCCGCCGCGTCGCTCCCTGCCCCCCCGCAGCCCCTGCGGAGCGGAGGCCCGCCCAGCGAGGGCGGTGGCGCGCCGTCGCTGGAGGTGCGGAGCGCCGTGGGCGCGCCGCCCTCCCGCTTGCGCCGCGGCCGCCGCCCGCCGCGGCGGCGGTGGTGGTGACCCCGATGATGCTGCTGGTGATGCTGCTGGTGATGCTGATGGTGATGCTGATGGTGACGATGGTGATGGTGACGATGGTGATGGTGATGGTGGCGGTGGTAATGACGGTGATGGCGGTGGTGATGATGGCGGTGGTGAAGGAGATGATGGTGGAAGTGGTGGTGGTGGTGGTGATGTCGATGTCGATGATGATGCTGATGATGATGGGGATGGTGGTGATGGTGGTGATGGTGATGATGGTGATAAATGTGATGGTGATGATGGTGATGATGATGCTGATGGTGATCGTGGTGCTGATGGTGATGAGGAGGAGGAACGTGGTGATGATGGTGGTGGTGATGGTAGTTGATGGTGGTTGGGATGATAGTGATGATGATCTAGAAGATGGTTGTGGCGGTGACTATGGTCATGATGGTGGTGGTGGTGGTGGTGATGACGATGATGGTGATTGGTGGTGGTCTGTGTTGACGATGGTGATGATCATGGTGATGGGGGTGATGACGAGGCCGGTGACGCTGGCGATGGCGGTGATGTTGTTGTTGATGAGGAGGACTGGTCGTGGTGCTTATGACGATCGCGGCTGATGATGGCTGAATCGGTTGATGGTTTGGTTGCAATGATGGTCATGGCGGTGGCTTTGATGATGAGTGTGATGAAGACAAGGATTGTGACGATGACGATTGTGCTGATGATGGTGCTGCTATGCGGAGATGAGGATCGTGATGATGGGTGGCCTTATGACAATGATGAGAGTGCTGATGGTGATGACGATGATCATAGTGAGTGGTGGTGATGATGAGGATGCTGATGATGCGTGATGGCGATGGTGATGATCATCATTGGTGTTGTTCATTTTGATGATTGGGCTGATGATGATAATGATGCTGATGATAATGATGATTATGATTGCGATTGATGGTGATGATGATGGCGATGATGATGTTTGGTTGTGGTGTTGATTATGTTTATCGGTAGCCATGGTGATGTTGATGATCATGATGACGATGACGATGATGATGATGGCGGCACTGGTTGGTGATAGGTAGGGGTGATGGTAATTATGATGATGGTGATGATGATGATGAATGATGAGTGCGACTGTGATGGTGACGGTGGTAATCATGGTGGTGACCATAATTTGTGGTGATAATGGCCATGAGGATGATGATGATGATGATGATGATGGTGGTGGTGGTGACAATCGTGACTTGTTGTGATGACGATGGTGTCGACGATGAAGGTGATGATAATGACGACGATGATGGTCAGTTGTGGTGGTAATGAATACGAAGATTGGTGGCGATAGTGATGATGCTTATTTGTGACGGTGCTGAACAGCACTTGTGACGAGACGATGATCGGTGGTGATGATTTGATGATCCTGATTATGATGATGATGATGGTGTCGGCGATGGTGATGATGGTGATGATGATGATGATGTTGGATGTGACGTTTCATGGCTGGTGGTGATGGCGATTGGCGGTGGTGATGATTTGGTGATGGTGATTGGTGGTGGTCTGTGATGGTGGCGATGATGACGACGTTGGTGGTGACGATGATCATGGTGGTGATGCGGATGCTTGACGGTTATGATGCTGCTAGTTTGTTGTGAAATTCATGGGGGGTGGATTATGGTGATAGGTGGCGGTGGTGGTGGTGATGACGATGATGATCGCGATGATGGTGGTGATGACGTTGATGACCATGGTGGTAGTGGTGATGACGATGATGATGTTGCTGCTAGTGGTGATCATGATAATTGCAGCCATGATGCTGGTGATGGCGACGATGATGATGGTGCTGGTGATGATGATGATGCCGATGATTACTATGATGGTTGGTGGTGGTAACGATGGTGATGATGCGGGACACGACGGTGGTGGTGATGTCGATCCTGATGATTGTGGTGGTGGTGGAGTTGATGAAGATGCTGATTGGCGGTCGTTCGTGATGGTGATGGTGGTGGTGGTGATGGCGATGCCGATGCCGTTTTCGATGGCGGTGACGATGATGATAATGCTTTTGATAAGGATGCTGTGTATTGGTGATGGTAATGTTCGGTGGTGATGGCGATGAGGGCTGATAGTGATGCGTTGGGAAAGGTGGTCACGGTGGTGGTTTGTGATGATTGTGATGATGGTGATGTTTGTGACGATAATGGTTATGATGATTGTTGTGGTTGGTTGTGGTGGTGAACAAATGCCTGGTGGCGATGGTGTTGGTACCGGTGGTGATGAGGATGATGATGAATGGTGATGGTGATGGTGATGATGATGGTACTGGAAACCATGATTGGAGGATGTGATGACGATGCGGACGAGGATGAGGATGATAAAGGTTGTGATTGGCGGTGATGATGGTGTTGATGATGGTATTGATGATGATGACGATGATTGGTGGTTGTGGGTGACGAGGGTGATGATGATAATGAGGCAGATGATGGTGACGACGATGAGAATGGTTTTGATGACTAGAGGCGATGGCATCATTAGGGTTGACGGTGATTGGCGATGATGGTGACGTTGGTGATGAGCGTTGATGATGGTGACAATCGGTGAGGACTTTAATGGTGAGGGGGTATAGATGATGTTTAGTGATCTGGACGATATTGATGATATGATTGATGATGATGCTGGGCATGCTGATCATGACGATGAGGTTGTTAGTGATGATGGTGATGATGATCAGGTGAGGAGTCAGATGCGGATTCTGATTATGAGTGTGATGGTGTTTGTTGGTGGTGATGCTAATGGCGATGATGAGGAAGATGATTGGTGGTGGTAATCGTGATGATGATCGGCGGCGGTATTGATGCGAATAATTGGTTGCGGTGGAGATGATGATGGTAAGGATGACGGTGAACGGTGATGCTGGTGATTGGTGGTGCTGATGGTGGTGCTGGTGATGGCGAGGATGATGATGATGATGGTTCTGATTAGGATGCTGATGTTCAGGATGAGGATGCAGATGATGATGATGAGCATGATGAGGACGATGATGTTGAGGTGGTGGTGCTGATGGTGATCATGATGATTGGTGGTGGTGATGCTTGATGGCTTTGATGGTGGCACCTTGTTTCGATGGTGATGGTGATCTGGATGATGATGATGATGCTGATGATGATGAATCGAATGGTTGTATGATGCCGATTGTGAGGATGATGGTGACGAGGCTGAGGATGACGATGATGATTGTGCAGAAGATGACGGTGATAATGATGATGGTCAGGATGTGGATGATGGTGCTGGTGATTGGTGGTGATGGCGACGGTGATGATGTGGAGGATGATTGGTGGTGGTGGTGATCATTGGTGGCGATGGCGATGATGCTCATAAGTTGTGGCGGTGATGGTGGGGATGCTGATTAATGATGATAGCTTGGTGTGACTGTGGTGATGATTAGAAGTGATGGTGCTGGTGTATGTGGTGATGATGATGGTGAAGAGGATGATAATGCGGATGATGACGATGCTTACAATCATGGTGAGGATCATGATTGTGATGAGGATGGTTACGATGGTAATGAAGTGTTTTATGGTGATGGTGATTGGTGTTAAGGCGATGATGATGATGATGATGATGGTGATGCCGATGATTGGTGTTAGCGGTGGTGATGAGAAGTTGCGTTGATGATGGGACTGATGATGGTGATGGTGTTGTTGATGATGATGGGGATGAGGATGATGATTATTGATGCAATGATGGTTTGTGGTGATGACGTTCGCTTTGTGGTTATGGTGATGACGATGGTTGTTTCTGATAGTATGGTGATGATGGTCACGATGATAGTGGGTGATGGTGGTGATGATCGGTGATGCTGGTGCTGATGATGATGCATGATGTGATGATGATTGGTGGAAGTTGTGGGCCGGTGATGCGGATGGTGTTCACCGCTGGTGAATCTGGTGATGATGATGACGATGGTAATAATGACGGTGACGATGGCGATGATGATGACGATGACGATGATGACGACGATGATGATGATGGTGGTAGTGATGATGATGATGATGATGCTGATGATGATGATGATGCTGATGATGAGTGGTGATGGTAATGATCACGATGATCATTGGTGGTGATGATGATTGGTGGCAATGACGATTGGTGGTGTTTGCCCATGATGA